CATGATGGTTGTAGCAGTTTACATTCCCACAAACAGTGGATTAGGGTACTTTTTCCCCACATTCTCATCAGCATCTGTTTTTTGATTTTTGGATGATAGCCATTCTAACTGAGGTGAGGTAAACCTCGTTGTGGTTTAGATTTGCATTTCCTGATACAATTTGTATTTCATTCTTTGAAAAAAAAGTCTGTTCATGTCCTTTGCACATTTCCTTTTTTTATAATACTAATTTTTCATGAATTTTCTTTTTTAAATTTTATTCAAGGTATACAGATTTCAAGTATTTCATATACATGATTTAGGGACACAGTGCTACGTCCCACCTTATCTTCCCTCCTGCCCATCTTCCCACCCTTCTTCCTCCTCCCTCTCCTTTTCCTACTCTAAATTTTTTACAAAGATCTATTTTCAGTTTACTTTATGCTCATAAGATTAACCCTACACTAAGTGTATTTATTTAATTCAATAAATGGTATGGAGAAAAAAAACACTGTTCTTCAGCAGTAGAGACAATGGCTATAAACAATCATCAAATCTCGAACTGTATTTTTATTTATTTTTGACAGGCAGAGTGGACAGTGAGAGACAGAGACAGAGAGAAAGTTCTTCCTTTGCTGTTGGTTCACCCTCCAATGGCCGCCGCGCTGCGGCCGGCGCACCGTGCTGATCTGAAGGCAGGAGCCAGGTGCTTCTCCTGGTCTCCCATGGGGTGCAGGGCCCAAGGACTTGGGCCATCCTCCACTGCACTCCCGGGCCACAGCAGAGAGCTGGCCTGGAAGAGGGTCAACCGGGACAGAATCCGGCGCCGCAACCGGGACTAGAACCCGGTGTGCTGGCGCCACAAGGCAGAGTATTAGCCTATTGAGCCGCGGCACCAGCCTCAAACTGTATTTTTGTAAGGTATAAAGTAGGGGTTTTGTTTTATACTTCGGTAAATGTAGACTCAATGTTCTCATCCCCATTTGTTAAATAAGCTATTGTTTATCCAGGGATTGATTTTAGCTCATTTTTCGAAGATTAGTTGGTTGTAGATGTGTGGATTAATTCCTGGGGTTTCTGTTCGTTTCCACTGGTCTTCATGTCTATTTTTGTGCCTGTACCAGGCTGTTTTGATTATAACTGTCCAGCAGGATGTCTTCAAGACTGGTACTGTGATGCCTCCAGCTTTGTTTTTGTTGTTTAAGATTGCTTTAGCTATTTCGGGTCTCTTGTGTTTCAATATGAATAATTTTTAAAGATTTATTTATTTGAAAGTCAGAGTCACACAGAGAGGAGAGGCAGAGAGAGAGAGAGGGGTACTCCATCTGCTGATTGGTTGACCCCAATAGCTGGAGCTGCACCAATCCGAAGTCAGGAGCTTCTTTAGGGTTTCCACATGGATTCAGGGGCCCAAGGACTTCGGCTATCTTCTAGTGCTGTCCCAGGACACAGCAGAGATCTAGATCAGAAGTGGAGCCGCTGGGACTTGAACTGGCACACATAAGGGATGCTGGCACTTCAGGTGGTGGCTTTACCTGCTATGCAACGGCGCCAGTCCCTCCATGTGAATTTTAGCATCACTTTTTCCAGAACTGAGAAGAATGTCATTGATATTTTGATTGGGATCACATTAAACCTGTAAATTGCCTTTGATAGTTTGGACATTTTGATTATATTAATTTTAATCCATGGACTTGGAAGATTTACAATTTTTTGGCATCCCCTTCTTTATTGCTTTGTAATTATCATTATAGAGATTTTTATATCCTTGGTTGAATTATTTTCATTTTTAAAGAATATTTTTACTGGTTATAGTAGTTTTGATGACAGGTTTTTGTTTTTTGTATTTATTTATTTTTGTTTCTCCATCATGTCAGGTACATTATTCCATTGTTTTCTGGCATGCATTGTTTATGCTGAGGAGTTATTGGTTACCTATTACTTTTAAGATTTTCTCTTTAGCAAGGATTTTCACCTTATGATTATTTGATGTATTTTTCTCTCTGCTTATCCAGATTGGAATTAAATGACCTATTTACATACTTCTTATATCTTTCCATCATTACTCACTTTTTTAATGTATTTTTTTTCTACTTCAATCTGTATCATCTGAAATTTTAGTGTTCTCTTTATTTTCATGACTCGTGGGACACTTAATGTCCCACATGTTGCTGGAGCATTTCTCACTTAGTAAATCATTTTTTGTCTCTGAATTTGAGTTTAGATGGTATACACAAACCCAAATCCTAATACACTTATGTTTTCTGGTTGGTGGCGAAACTAGTCTTAAGACCTTAGAATAAATTTTGTCTTAATTTACATACAATGTGACATTCTCAATTGTTCATGGTTCTCTTTAATTATTTCTTTTTTTTCCATTTAGATTTTGTATTTGGATTCTTCAATATCCATTTTCTTAAGTAATGGAACTAATATATAACTGTCGCTTTGAAGTCCTGCTTTGCTATTATTTTCATTTCTGTTATTTGAGGCTCCATTTCTGTTAACTGAATTTTTGTTACTTATAAGTGATATTTTCCCACTTCTCCGAAAAATCTAGTGCTTTTTTAAAAATATAATTTTATGGTAGACCTAACCGATGTGATGAGCTTCAGTTTCTAAGGCCTTAATGGGGTGTTGAGTTTTGTTGAAGCTTGAAGTTATTAATTTAAGGTCAGATCAGTCTTTTTCAGAAATCTTTGACCAGGTGTGGCCAGAACAGCCCTTATTTTAGGACCAAATTCTCTCTACTTCTACTTGTTTGTTAAATTTTATTTCAGGTAAACACATTTCATATATAAAAATTTAGGAACAAAGTGATACTTCCCACTCTATTACCCCTCCCGTCTACTCTCCTATTCAAACTTGATTTTTATAATGATCTACTTTCGTTTACTTTATACTCATAAGATTAACCCTACACTAAGAAAAGACTTCAATGAATAATAATAAGAAAAAAACGCTGTTCCTTAACAGAGAAACAAGGGCTGTAAACAGTCACAGGACCTCAAAATTTCAGTTTCACTCCTACACATTACATTTTTGATACTCTATTAGTTACCACACATCAGGAAAAACATATGGTATTTGTCTTTTGAGAACTGGCTTATTTCACTAAATATAATGGTTTCTAGTTGCATCCATTTTGTTGAGAAATACAAGATTTCATTCCTTTTTACAGCTGAGTAGTGTTTGCCACCTCTCACGGTCACCTTGCTGGAATGCATACTCAATGCCTGGGACTGCTCAGGAAGGGCTCTCAAGCTTCAGTCTAACCTGAAGCCAAATTTCTCTCAAATCTGTGCAACCTCTGATTGCTGTTCCTGCAGAAACCCCTTTACCTGCAGTTGAAGTCTTGGTCTGCAAACACACAGAGTATTTTTGTTTGGCGATTAGACTCCAGAGACTCATAGTGATCCCCACAGAGAGCCCAGGAGCTACTATCTCCTTTGGATTCTGTCTTTAAAAAAATTCGCCATTCTCAGTAGGTTTGAATTTATGAAACTTTTTTAAAAGTTATTTTATATTTGTAATTGTTTAAAGATGTCTTGTATCATAGCTGAAAGCATAAATAAGCTACATAAGCAATGATAAATGAATAAAATATCTGTGATGGTTTAACAAATGATGCAAGCCCTCAGACAGTATTTCATTAGCATTTAAGTTCTCTATTTAAAGTGGGTTTATATATATATATATACTATAAATTGTTAATCTATTGAATATTTTTCTATCATTTAATCTCATTAGTAAGCTAAATTCACCACAAAAATCATGTCTCTTACTAGTGTTAAGTGTTGTGTCACATTTTCTGCAACTTATTTGTGTATGAACATAGTTTTTTAAATATTACTCTGAATTAAGAGTCATTCTGTTCTTTGTTAACACCATTTTTATAAATATTTTTACATACTTATTATTTGTCAATCAATTATTAAAATCCACCAAAAGAAGTTTAATTTTGTTTGGTAACTCAAATCATTTTCCTACTAATAATTAAGAAACATTGGTGGTTTTTATCTCCAGTGCTGCACACTGATTAATTTCCTATTGTTAACAAAAACTGAGCTCAGTTTCACAAAGTTTACTGAGCAGCAGTAAAAGCTTCTAGAATTGGACAGTGTTCCAGATAAAAAATGATTCCAAATGCTTCTCCCTTACAGTGTGATGAGTTACATTTTATACCAAGAAAGGCAGGTTGCAGTGTGCAGAGGTTTCCTGATTGGTGCAGGATGTCATTTGCCTTATTTGGACGTAATTTTGGCAGCTGTTCACTTGGGAGCTCTTCACTGAGAGGTTGATGGCTGTGTTGGAAGAGGCTCAGTTGCTTAGCTAAAAGTGTATAGTCTGTGTTAGGTACAACCTGCTTGTGCACCAAGCTGTATTGTGTAGTCCACTTGGTATGGACACCCCTTTGGACTGAACTCATCATTCAACAATGGAGGCTGCTTTAGGAAAATTTATTACAGTTTAACTCTTTATACACATTTGTTCCCCTGAGTGCAGAGTTCTAATGTACAATTAGGCTTCATCTTAAGCATAGTACTAATATTCTTTGAATTCTGAATTTTAATGCAAAAAATATTTTAGAGTCTATGTATAATTGGTTTTGTTTTGTTTATAATTTACTAAAAGATAAACCCTTACATGAAGGAAAGGAAATTAGGTAGTTCCTTATTTTTTCCTAGAGATTTTAGCTGAAGAGTTCATGGTAAATTGATCAACCCTCAGCCAATTAGACTTTGACATGTACTAATAAGATCTAATTGAGAAATTATGAAGACATTTGCTCAGGAGAAAATGAGCACATAATTGCAGCATAAAGAGGTTAAAGAATCAATGTTACCCAGCTGGAGGAATATTAGTTGAAATCCCAATGGCATCCATAAAGGACACTTCATAATATATCTGTGAAACATCGCTCTGACAAGACCAATTAAGATATGTAGAATAATCCATTGTCAATTGTACAAGTTAAACTTTAAACACTCATTTTCTCCCCTTGTGTCTGTACTGTGTAGGTGCTGGGGGATGGTCTCCATCCGACAGTGACCATTATCAGTGGCTTCAGGTTGACTTTGGCAATCGGAAGCAGATCAGTGCCATTGCAACCCAAGGAAGATACAGCAGCTCAGACTGGGTGACCCAGTACCGGATGCTGTATAGTGACACCGGGAGAAATTGGAAGCCGTATCATCAAGACGGGAATATCTGGGTAAGTCATTGTAAGAAATGCAAAGAATCAGAAGTGAGTGGCAATGTGGAAATGACAGAGATCATCACATTTTAAAATATTACTGACCCTCCCTTTGAGCTGCAATTAATTAATCAAATTATGTATTCATCCTTACTGGTTGATGATCATTTTCTTAAGCTGTGATTTCTATCCAATGCCAGGTGGTAATTTTTTTTCCAAGGGACATTTGCATATTCATGATATTATAACATTATTTATGTGCCACAGAAAATTATCAACTTAAAAATTAGCCTGCTGTAGATTTATAGAATTTCAAGTCTCATCTGTGGTTGCCGTGGCAGGGCCAGACCAAACGATTTTGTGGGCTCCATATGTTCTGCAGGCCGGATGTCCCCATGCATGGTAGGGCAGTGAGTCTCAATCTGGGCTGTGCAGTTGAATCACCTGAGGAAATTTTAAACTATGTGAATGCCACTCACACCCAGACCAATGAATTCATCATCAAGTGAGTAGAAAACATATAACTTTTTTCAAGAAGGAAATCTTTGACTGGAGTTAAATACTGAAATTATGAGGGAAATAATTAGTAGAAGAAGTAGGACGATATACAATATGAAAATAATTTTCCCACTTTACACTAGTGTCTTAAACCCTTGTCACAGATCTATATTCGTATCTTCTGTCATTATGAAATAATGAGACTTAACCCTTTTGCTTTAAAAAGTCTCAGTTAAATCAGAAATCTACATGTATTCAAATCAAACACCGACCACATTTGAATACATTATATAATACTAAAAAAGTGGCTGTGAGTAAAATTAAATAAACTCATCAGTGTTAAACAAGAAGAAACAGGAAGAGGAGAAAGAGGCAGGAAAAGGAGAAGAAATAGGAGATGGAACAATTCCTTCTCCATTGTATCCTTCAGAGTGTTAGAAAACTGGAGATTCTCAAGCTGATTAATGCCCACTCTTGGCGAATTTATCTTTTACAGAGCCCAAGTGCTTTTTGTGAGTAGGAAGAGTTTGCAATTCCTGTCTGTGGCGGGGGGTGGCGGGGGAGGGTGTTCATTCCCACAGTTAGCTAATGGCTATAACTGTGATGGAAATACATATATTTATATATAGTATTCTAATAATAAGAAGTGTGTCTGCCCAAGTAGTTCATTAGAAACGACTCATTTGGAGACTAGAGTTCTGATTCAGTGGGTTAAGACATCACTTGCAACACCAAGATTCCCTAGGAGTTTCATTTCCAGTGCCGGCTGCTCCACTTCCAACCTGGCTCCCTGAGAATGTGCCTGGGAAAGCAGTGGAGGGTGGCCCATTTATCTGGATCCCTTTCACCAGTGTGGGAGAGCCAGATGAAATTCCAGGCCCCTGATTTTAGCCTGGACCAGTCTCAACCTTTGAGGCTTTTTGGGGAGTGAATAAGTGGGTCACTCAATCTCTCTCTCCCTCGCCCTCTCTCTCACTTTGTCTCTGCCATTCTGCCTTTCAAACAAACAGACAAACAAATAAATAGGTCTTAAAAATAACTCATTTCGAGCCATAATTGTAAAGTAAGAAGTTTGTATATGGGGTGTACACATCATAGGAAGCAAGTTGTAGGGAAAATGCCTGCTTATGGAAGGCTTCATCACAATGAAGATAATTCAAAGCCTCAGACTACTTTTAGAAAAGCAATCTGCAACCCTGTATATACAAAGAAATCAAATAGAGTGCTTTAAAATGTGAACGGCCATGCCCCAGCTCCAGAGACTTGTATTTAGTTGGTTAAGCTATATCCGGGGATTTGATCTTAAAGCTCCCAGTTGATTCTAATGCACAGCCAACATTGAAAACCACTTTCTAGATTGATTTTTCAGTCTGCAGGTATAGGCGGTGGTGAAGACAATTTATTCTGAAAGTAGTAGTAAGATAGAAAATTTAAAATGTAGACATGATTGTGCTAAACTTGAACAGAGATAGACTGGCTAACTGAATGAGCCTGAGCTCAGAGACCAACCAACAGTAAGTAGCTAAGGCTTGGATCATAAAAATCTTCCAACAAAGCACTAATTATTTTGCAACTCTCTGTGTCTTCTAAGATTAGTTTAGCATGTTGACAAAATTGTCTGAGAGGCTGTGTATCAGACTTCAAACTATCACATTACTGCTTTTGTAAGGTCTTTATCTCAAAATTAAGAGACTGTTCAAATTCTCCTGTCTTGATAAGAGAGGGTAATAATGAAGATTGCTGCTCCAATGTTAATATACTTGAACTTGAGCTTACTCACAGATGCTTTTCAGTATACATAAGGCCAATAAATAAGTTAAAAGTTCTAAAGAGTAAAATGTTCAGGGTGCCTGGGACTCTTTCGATGTCACATAAAATGAGATGCCAATGGTTGAGTCATGGAGATAAGGAATGTCACATATTGTGAATGTAGTCTGGGTCTATGTACAGGTCTCTCAAACTTTGCTGTTGGTGTTAAAGGGTGCATTTCTATTTTCTTTTACCTTTCCTGTGTTCATTTTGATTCTTTCATGTATCTCATTAAAAATCCAAATGGTATGGTATGAATGATTAGCTATTATTTCTAGAAAAAACAATAGTAAACTAATTATGAGTTTTTGAAAAGCAAAGCAAGTCTGAGGCAGAAATACATATTGAAAATATGTTTAAACCATCTATAAGCCTGCAACATGATGGTCATATTATTTTAATACATTTTCAGAGATGTTTTCATCTTTACTAATGAGAATAGATGATTTTTGTTATATTCTGAAAGAGATAAATGTCATTGACTTCTAAAAATTCTTGAATACTTTAGTCTATGCATTATGATGCAATAAATGATTAAAATTAAGCATTTACAAATTCTAACAAAAATGTTTTTGTTCTTAACTATTGAAATCATAATTAAAAGTCTACTATATAACATGTAAGACTTAAAAGAGAAAGATAAGATAGATAAGATTGGTTGAGTTTTTGAGGAATAATAGCTTATCATATGTAAAGATTTATATAACCAAAAGATTTTATAGTTGATATAATTTTGAAGTTCCTTTTCCTATCTTCTTGTAATAATTAGCTGAGGAGACAAATGATGATGTAAAATCAATTGTTTGAATATCATTTTAAATAAGCTAATGATTATTTTTCTATAACTGTTGGGGGAATAAAAATTATAACTAATTTCATAATCTTACTAAATGTCCATATAGGTAGTCTGAGTTATTTTGAGCAGTATATTAAAATAAGCAAAGAACAAGTCATGTACACAGGAATTATGACTGTTTCACAAGGTTTTAAAGTCATGAATTTTGCATTATGGAATCAGAACTTCTCTTTAGTTTGCTTGAATATTTAACACTTAAAGATGTGAGTTGGTAAATGTGCTTAACTAGCCAAAACTTCTATCCCTCTTTGATAGTGCGGACCATAATAGAATCATTTATACTTTATCAACAATGCCATTTCCTTCCATTCTGAATATCTTTCCAATGCAAGAGGGAAATATGTGCAGATTGGCAACATCGCCAAAAAGGTTATTGCATTTACATGTTTCACAAAATCTAATTTGCATACTTCTCTTCAGATGTGTTTAGGTTTCCAAAGTATGATCTATCAGAGAGGAAATATTCCATATAAACTTTTCTTATCAAAATGCCATTAAATCACCTTTAATAATAATTCTGTAGATTTCTGCTAAGAAGCTGCATTGGAATTGCCTGTAAAATTCAATTCCTGATGTTATGATGCAGATAACTCAGAGCCAGTATGGGAAGTTGGAATGTTAACAGTGAATGTCTTTAACACACTGCAATTATCCTGCAGGTCAGTTATACAACCATGATTTCACCTGTAAGGTGTACATAGTTTTTGTTTTTAAGATTGTATTCTTAATAATGAGAAAATGCCTATATATTCCTAATTATTCTTTAATACAGTGTGATCCCTTTTGTCACTGGTATGCCTAAACAAGTGTCAGGCTGGGATTAGATACCAGTGCATCTGTTAGATGTAGAATCCTACATAAGGGAAATGTTAGGCTGTTGTATTTAAATTATTTTGTTACTTATCAAGAATGTAAAGGTATGTAAATTCATAATTTCAAAGCAGTATTAAATATTTACATACAAGATTAAGAAATTTTGTTGCTTTTATACTTTTTGCACATACCTATACACACAATAAAACAGTTTCTAACAAATTTGAAGCATTAAAAAATCTGCAAAGCAAACATTGTAATGAGTAGATTAATTTATTAAATATTTTCCTTTTCTGAATATCAACTCAAGAGTTGGAATGTGCACTCTCTATTTTCAACCGAATATCCTATCAATCAATATTATATAATGAAACTGCCCCAAATATCCTTGATAATTGCCAGTGAGTCCATAGTTGTTTGTAAAGTAGAATCAAGATACTAGAATTAAAAGCCCTGAATTCAAGTTTCTTGCTTCACTTATCTGTTTTGTAAACTTGGAGATGTGCTTTATTTCTGTGGCTCCAAATTCCTAATCTGAGAAGGGAGAATAATCCTCCAGGGAATGTTTAAGGGACTTTGGAGAAATTTTGCTAATTGTAAACATTTAAACACTTGTTATCAATTGTCAATATTAGAAAGACTCCAGACTCAAGAGTAGTTTGTCCTTTGAGAATTGTATATGATGATCATTTTCAATTTGTTTGGGCTCTTCTGTCCTTTCCAGATTCAATTTACCACTCATTTACTTTTATTTATGATTGTAAATATATTGACAACAGTGCAGCTAAGAAAAAATAGGACTTCAAGTAAGAGGCCAAATGTGGGCAAATCTCCGGCATATGTTCCAATTAGCCAATGGAAAGGCATCTATAAACACAGTGGTAGTATTGGCGAGGCCAGCCAGGCATGGCTGGCAGACCTAGCTCTGTGCCAAGAGGCTTTGTAGTACTTATAACAAATTACTTTTTTACCATAATGATGGCCTATGTGCAATGAGCCGTGTAAGGGGACATTGTTTAAAAATGAGTGAATTATTCTGTCC